TACATTTAAAGAAGAGCTTACTTTGGCACTATTAAAAAAGTATGTTATTTACATGCGTGTAGTATAAACAATCTGGATATACTGAATCTGCCATATTGCCATTATCATCACGAGTCATGACCTCATGGGATGCTAAACTCAGCGGAAGTAAAAGTACTCATCCCGGTATTTTTCACCTACTCAGGACTGCGAACTTGGACTACCATTTCACGTAGGCCGACTTTTTTTCTCATGTTATATCCACGGTTTTCCTACCACTTTGCGTGAATTATGGGAGAACTTCCGTTAAACTGTAAACGATAAGCAAAAGTTTCGCTCTATGAACGCAATAATAAGTATTTTCAAAAACGGGGTAGGCCTACAATGAGGTGATTCTTCTCACATTTAACAATCGAACTTTAAAAGAAAATTTAAAAGTGTAAAAGCGTTAACAAATTACCACAACAGACCATGAATAGCCTCATTATTTCCACAGAAATATATTGGATGTGTTAATCACTGTAATCATCATAATCAAAAATGTTCATTAACTGGAACATAATATTTCAAAGCGAAATGTTGACAGACAATAATTGTTGTATTTACCTGCTTAAGAAGCATTCCAGTAAACACTGCTAATGGGAATTAGAAGTAAAAAGGGGAGACAATTAGGCTACGTTTTAAAGCATGTGTGTGAAAACAAACCTGGAAAGAGATGTGAAGATTTGGGGAGAAAAACAAGAGATTCTTAGTGCATTTCAGTGAATTATTCATGGGATGTATCGTCTAATAAATGTGACTCATATGTTTGTCTTTTTTCATACGGTTACAGCGGGATACAAAGAAGAATAAGGAAAAGAGCTCTTGCCATAGATATTCTTGTTATACCAAGTCACATTCAAACCTGACGTCTGAAAATAAAACATGAAGGACATTTTTCTAGCCTGGTAATACCAGACTCTGCTACTTCACTAGTACGAAGTCTGACGTAGTCAGGCTAACATTTTTCAGCTCATTCAATCAAACTGACAGATGATTTGTAGCCCAACCTTATGATTTGTTTCAGTCTTATTGAGTGAAAGTTCCTCAGACCGGGAGTTCCTCCCATAATCTAAAACGCAGTAGGCTTGTTAGGAAAAAGGTAGATAGTAGAGAGGCATATTCGGACACGGGGACGCATGAGTGAGCCTCTGAAAGAATCACTCAACCAGTTTGTTGATTCATTCAGAAACACGTGTTGCTCAAAAACGTGCAGGCAGCTTTAGCTTCGCAAATATAGACAAAATAACTGCTAATATTGTGTCCATGTCACTTGCTCAATATTAACGTCATGTTTATTGTAATTTGTGGATTCAGTCCACTGGAAATCTGTTCTTGTTTAAACATAACTAAATGTAATCGTCACTTGTAGTAGACTTTTATGGCCTGAATAAGCTCAGTCATTAGCAGAATAAATGGGATTGATTATTAACCATAACCCTGCTCTCTTCAAACAGTACTGAGCTGCGGTTCTGTCACAACCTGCATTGTACAAACCTCCAAAAGTTGGGACATTTTGTAAAATGCAATAAAATCAAGAATCTTTGATTTGTTAATTTTCTTTAACCTTTATTTAACTGACAAAGGTACACAGAAAAGATTATAAAAGTTTTCGCTGACTAACTTAATTGTGTTTTGCAAATATAAAGATATTTTGATGGCTATAATACACTCCAAAAAAGCCAAATAAAAGTGAAAAGCTTATAGAATTTCCAAGTTAAACTTTTGAAACAGTCCACAATAAGATGAATGGGTAATAGGTGAAGGTATCATGATTGAGAGTAAAAGGAGCATCTCAGTCTTTGCGAGCATAGATGGGTCATGGCTCACCGCCAAATATCATGAGAGAATCACATTTCTCAATGCAAGATTGCAAAGAATTTGGGTCTTCCACCATCTACCACATAATATTGTGAAAAGATCGAGGGAATCCAGAGAAATCTCAGTACATGTAGGGCAAGGCAGGAAACCTCTGTTGAATGTGTGTGACCTTTGAGCCTTCAGACGGCATTACATGAGAAACTGTCATCCCGCAGCCAGATGTGCTCTGGAGTTCTTTGGAAAACTGTTGTCATTTAAAGCAACACCAAGTAACTTTTCCTCTGCGGTCGCACTACAGGTTGGAAGCGGAATTGTCCATTACCGCTGTCGTAAATAATTTAGCCCACCGCAGCCTACTGTCGCACGCACACTCACTGTTTATCCAGCACCGGCTTTGGAATGAAGGATGTCCACAGACAAGGTAGAGTATGATGCATCATTTCATGAAAGTATGATGTATTGCAACATCAGAAACGAAGAAAAACAAAATAATGACCATTGTAACGCTTGACGTAAAGCAAGTCAAATTAGTAGTTTTCTTATGTCTCATTAGAACTACAGAAACGCAACCCGATCTGGCAATCTTACACAGCGTGGTTATAGCAGATATAGGACCGCAAAGCGAATCCAGAAGTGCCTTTCACCCTGTTACGACTTAATGAACCACTGAAAAAATCTTACTTAGTGTTGCTTTAAAAAGTGTAATTAAAAGTGAAGGTGATGTGACAGTGGTAAAGATGCCTCTGTCACAACTTTTTTGGCGTGTGTTGCAGCCATCAAAATCCAAATTTGTTTGTTTTTTTACAAAATACACTTAAGTTAGTCAGTGAAAACTTAGAAAATATTTTCTTTGTACTTTTGTCGGTTAAATAGAGGTTAAAGAGAATGAACAAATCACAGATTCTTGATTTTATTTCATTTGACAAAATGTCCCAACTTTTCTCAATTTGGGGTTGTATGAATGATGTGAAGCCAACAGGTAAGAACCACGTGGTTACTTAGCAACAGAAGAAAAGATTAGGTTGCTAAGAGACAGCCGCGGTTCTCAACAGTCGGTTGATAAAGAAGAGTGTACATTTTCAGATAGCAATGACGATGAGCAATCATTTGAGTCACTCAAATAAACAAGCCGTTGAGAGGGGCATGACAATTGCTGTGGAGCGGGTATACGCTGGTTTCAAGGTAATATTCGATGGGTTTAAGTGCTGCATGTCAACGAGTTTTCCTAACGCATGCTCTTCAAACGCGTGCTGGTATTTACTCTCTGGTATTTACCGCTCATGACGCGCAGCGCATTTACGCAAGGAGACATAATCCTGCTGACAACTATGGCAAGCCATTTGAACATTTATTCTTTAAAACTAACTATTATGGTAAGATACAGTATTGAATGTGTGTCATAATGTTGAGCGATGAGGGATGTTTTATTACAATCGAGAGCGCATTATTAAATAGGCTTAATGTGTCCAATCGAGGCATGAGTTCATCCTTCAGATATTTTTAATAACCAATGAGTGTAAAGAGGAAGTTTGAGCCATACGCCTCGCAGCTCCGGTGGATCTTCAGATGAATGCAACTCATTTCTCTGTCTTTTTGAGTAAACGAAACCTATCATGATTAACACAGGACTATTATATGACATGAAAGACAAATAGCTGTACAGTGTGGTTCCGTTCCTACAGCGCATGTTTGCCAAGAATGCAGACTTTGGAAGTCCTGACAATTTGCAAGTGTCAGTTCGGTTATAGAATGTGGTTGACATGCTAGTAACAAAAAAATGTATTACGCAATCATATTAAAGTCAGCATGACATGGAATTAGCTTTTTTCCCCGTTGTTATTTATATCCATTGGGAATTGATTGGGTTGTTGTTTGCTATTGCTGTGATGTCATGTGAGTGACAGGTTGTCCCGCCCTCACGCCAGTAAACACATCATCAGAGATTAGAAGAGATGTAGCTGTTGAGATGTAGATGTTGCGAGGGCACATGAATAAAAAAATAATGATGTGCACGGATAAGTAATTTATAATAAACAATAATATATAATAAAACTGCAATATTCCATAAAAAAATGAAATGTCTATTTTGATTTCATGATGACTTTAAGCTCAAAATTTGGTAGTGACAACCGTCTTCCGCTTGTGTGAACTCAGCCTACGTTATGCCATTAATCTCCGTGAATAGTGTTTAGTATGATTTACTTAAGTGGCTACTGCTGGTGTTTTTTTTTTAATGCTTGAAAGACAGTAACAACTTAAATCCCTTATCTGGGTAAAATCTATTAATTAACTTCTCTTTGTTAGATATTAAGTATTTATGAGGTAATTTCCAAACTTTCTTCCAGGGAATATCACTTACAAAAACATTCCAGTAAGAAATTATATGGATATTTAATTAAGAAGTTGGTTGAGAAGTAAATGGTTCATCTGAACCCCAAATCTCATGGAAGAAATATATAAATTATTACCAGTTCAGTCATGACAAATCTTGGAGAGATTGGCATGGTAATGGATAAGGCAATGTTAATGTATTTGGTCTTGGCGGAATAGATCTGCTACGCTGCTGCTGCTGCAGAGCAAGTACCGAGACTTGCTACTGCCAATACATTCACAGACATGCTGCTACTGCTGCTGCACATGTAGCATACACGATTAAACCCCTGTAGCAGAGATACAGGTGGAGCTGGGGAAGGTGGAGGGTTTCTGAAAGCACAAATGACAACACTTAGGGTATTTGAATGTTGAGCCGCAGCTCATTGGCCGCTGATACAACAACAACCAATCAGCTGTGCTATGTAGCTGACAATGCCATCACTACCAAATAAGTTAAGGACCTATCAGCCTGTGCCATCTAGAGTTTCATGCCAGAACTTGGTATTTACGTAGTCTGTTAGAGTTTTGCAAAAACTACTAGTATATAAAAGTAGATCTAATACTAGACATTTATTGAATTAGTAGGCCTACTAGTACTAGTTGGTTTTAGTATACGTTCTAGTATGCTATAATGAATAATTCAACAGTGAAATTGAAATTGAGTCACTAATGGATAACTCACTAGTATAATAAAAAAGAGAGAAGCATTAGTAACACAGAAATCTATTTTAAGGAATCAATGTTCAATAGGCTTGCCATAGACGAAGCAGAGCTCTCAGCTTTTTTTCAAATTCAATTAACCTGTGACGCTGACCCGGTGAGGCGCGAGGGCTCGACGCGGTCCACCACTCTGATTTTACGCGCAAGCTTTGATTTATCTGTCCGTTAACAACACGGTCGAACATGCGCGCCCCGTGCAGTGCGCGAGGTCTACATGACGCGGGAAGAGCAGGATATTCCTCCAGGACAGTTTGAGGGTTACTTCTGCCCTGAATGCGACCAGAGAGAGAGAGTAAGAACGCGACGAGAACGATCGAGCAGGTGTTCAGCCGCCCGAACCTCACGAAGAATGCAACTTCTCACCTGTACATAAGGTAAGTCTTGCTGTTGTGCACCGACAGTCGCGCGTTTCAAATCTAAAAAGCTTTGTGAGAATGATAAACTGTCATGTGTTCTAAATATAAATATAGTACGGGTAGGACATTTACTAAGGAATTTTGCTATATAGGCTATATAAGTAAATGAACAAGTAAATACACGTGTGTCTTTATTCTATTGGATGCAGAGAATACATTACATAAGCATTTTGTCGTATTATTAGTCTTATCACTTGATTGAAACTGAGAAGATTCATAGTAAACTATTGGATCAGCATCATGCATCCTGTCCCCCACAGCAGGTCTATAGGATTAGCTCACACACACACACACACACACACACACACACACACACAGGTGCTGCTGCCCGTGTTTTTGCCTATGTGTGGCAATTTCTATTAATATCTATGCTCCATTTAAATCATCCTGACCCCATTTAAGTGCTTTACATCATAAACACATTGCAATATTTAATAGAATTATCCGATTATGATATATATAAACTCAATAGATGCTTAGATTACTACAAAAAATTATTGACATATTGTCAAAGCTTTGTCAAGTGCACATGTGCAATTAAATAATGTGCCCGATTTGATTTGAATATTGATATATATATATTTGTTTTTGTTGGTTTTTCTCATTTATTACAAGTAATGTTATGTTATTTAAATGTATCTTTGTGTCAGTTTATGTAAAGTGAATGATATCAAATGAGTATTCTCTCTTTAGTTGAGTTGGGCTCTTGTTTGTCATTTTCATCTCTCTCCTGTTTCACTTCTCTTTCTGCAGGTACTGCTGGCCTATGAATGGGACTGTGCTGTGGCCACCACTGCTTTCTGCGCTTCAGTCAGGACTATGTGCGGCCCATGTGCCCCTCTGAATGCACTGGCCAGCTGTTTGCGAGAGCAGGGAGGGTGGGGCGGCCCACCGGGGGCGAGGCGGAAACAGGGCGATGTCCCCTCAGTTTCGGATCGCAGTGCTGGGAGCTCAGGGGGTGGGCAAGACGGCCATTGTGAAGCGCTTTCTTCACAATGACTACAGTGAGGTGGCGGTGTCCAGTAAGACACGGCGGGTGCATCTCTCTGCCGCAGTGCTCAATGGTCATGTGCATGACCTTCAGATCACAGATTACCCAGCCATCAGCAGCTTTCCTGGCAGCTCTCTGCAGGTACGGTTCCCAACATATCACAAAATATGACTCTGACCGGACCTTGTGTCTGGACAAAGTTTAGCACATTTAGAGAAAGCACATTTGAGGTATACCCAGACAAGGGCGTAGGTTTGATTTTGACACTGGTGGGAACGTAAAAGCAGCGAAGAAAAAAACTTTATCTATGGACAGTAAGGTTTTTAGTCCACATTGACTATATTAAAGGCAATGACGACAAGGAGGCGGTTTAACAGAGATGTAACATTATCTTTACTCTGACCATAGTGCAATCATCAACATCTCTCATCAGCATCAGAGTACATAATGTATATGTAATACTCTATAATATATAAAGCACTTAAAGGGTTTGTTCACCCAAAAAATAAAATTATGTCATTAATTACTCACCTTCATGTTGTTCCTAATCCGTATGACTTTCGTTCAACTCAATGAAATCTGAGAGCTTTCTCTCCCTCCATTGACAATTACCATTTTCAAGGCCCAGAAAGGTAGTAAAGGCATTATTACAGTAATCCATGTGACTCCAGTGGAGTGTTTACCTCAGTTTGATGAAGAGATACATATGTGTTGCAATGAAACACTTCATTAACTCATACATTAATGTAATATCCATTGAAAATTTACATTATATAGAAGTTGCATGGTATACAATGATGTGATATTCAGATCAGCAACAGTCTCCGAGGGTGATGGAGGTTTATGAAGGGCCAATTAAACAGAATGTTTTCAGTGTTTTGCTATGGGCTCTGAGTTTATGCACAGTAAGAGCGTTATATTGCAGATTGGTTTATAATGAATCAGTAGCCTGGAAACTCATGGTTCTGTGTAACACTTGTGATTTCAGACAGCTTGAAAGGATAAAAGAGCCACTTGAGCAGTAAGGCCTTTTGTCTCAGCTCACTGTTCTTTCTCAGTGCTGTCACAATGATTCAGTGCTTGAATTAGTGACAATGGGAAGAGAGGATTCTTTCATAACTTTACATTTATAATTATATTCTCAATTGGAGTTTAAAGTCAGAGAGCTAGAGGTTACCTTGAATTATCATTACCTAGGGTCCTGTTTACACCTGGTATTAAGATGCGTTTTGGTCGATCGGATCACAAGTGGACGACACTAAATACAGGCGTAAACGGGGGTCTAAAGCGTTTTGAGCTTGTCCACTTTCAACCACTTCCAGAGGTAGTCGATAACACATTAGATTTAAACTTTGTCGTCTGAAAACCCAAGTTTGGTTTGAAGATGAAAAACGTACCAAGCACAATGTTCTCTCAGCATTCCTGATTTCTAACACACACTCACAGCGTTCGGCTGGTCTTGCGGCTGTCAGAGCAGAAACTAAAGCTGATGCTCTCCGTATGTTTTTCCTTCGTCTCTGTGCGTGTTCATTATGTTAATTGGACGAGATTATTTCGTCCATTAGATTTAAAGATCTGAAAAAACCCTAAATTTTCCCGCCCATAGACCCTCCCCTCGAAGAAATCAGGACAGAAGTGGTTGAAAGTGGACAAAAGAGACGGATTAAAACAGAATGTGTCTCCCTCGTCTACTTGCGATCCGATCTAACAAAACTCTTAATACCCAGTATAAAAGGCAACTGTTTTTCTTTTTTTCAATTGAAAAAGCGAGCATTTCTCCCCAAATCCTGACTAACCACTAGATTTTTATCTGAAAAAGCACCTTCCAATAAAACATCATTTGTTTGCAAGGTGCTAAATGTGGCATCAGAGTGCCTTCTATCATTCTTCACATGGCTGATATACACAAACAAATGGAGAGAATAAGAATTGGGAGATCATTATCTCTCTTGTTTCCGCATCACCTGTTACACTCCTGTCTCCTTCAGTTATAACTACCTCATATTAATCTGTTCAGAATGAATCATCTGAACATGAGTAATATGAATCTCAAGGTTCAAGAGTGAAAATGTTATGTTTTGTTTATGCTTAGTGTTATTATTTTTGTTGAGCACTTGTATTAACTCTTTAAAGCCTGACATATGAAAGGTCAGAAATTGTATTTAAATGGAACAGTTTAGTGAAAAAAAAAATCATATCTATCATATTAATACATCAGGCGTTTATGGCTCATATACACTCACCGGCCACTTTATTAGGTACCCCATGCTAGTAACGGGTTGGACCCCCTTTTGCCTTCAGAACTGCCTCAATTCTTCGTGGTATAGATTCAACAAGGTGCTGGAAGCATTCCTCAGGGAGTTTGGTCCATATTGACATGATGGCATCACACAGTTGCCGCAGATTTGTCGGCTGCACATCCATGATGCGAATCTCCCGTTCCACCACATCCCAAAGATGCTCTATTGGGTTGAGATCTGGTGACTGTGGAGGCCATTTTAGTACAGTGAACTCATTGTCATGTTCAAGAAACCAATTTGAAATGATTAGAGCTTTGTGACATGGTGGAAGTAGCCATCAGAGGATGGGTACATGGTGGCCATAAAGGGATGGACATGGTCAGAAACAATGCTCAGGTAGGCCGTGGCATTTAAACGATGCCCAATTGGCACTAAGGGGCCTAAAGTGTGCCAGGAAAACATCCCCCACACCATTACACCACCACCACCAGCCTGCACAGTGGTAACAAGGCATGATGGTTCCATGTTCTCATTCTGTTTACGCCAAATTCTGACTCTAACATCTGAATGTCTCAACAGAAATCGAGACTCATCAGACCAGGCAACATTTTTCCAGTCTTCAACTGTTCAATTTTGGTGAGCTCTTGCAAATTGTAGCCTCTTTTTCCTATTTGTAGTGGAGATGAGTGGTACCCGGTGGAGTCTTCTGCTGTTGTAGCCCATCCGCCTCAAGGTTGTGCGTGTTGTGGCTTCACAAATGCTTTGCTGCATACCTCGGTTGTAACGAGTGGTTATTTCAGTCACTGTTGCCCTTCTATCAGCTCGAACCAGTCTGGCCATTCTCCTCTGACCTCTGGCATCAACAAGGCATTTCCGCCCACAGAACTGCCGCTCACTGGATGTTTTTTCTTTTTCGGACCATTCTCTGTAAACCCTAGAGATGGTTGTGCGTGAAAATCCCAGTAGATTAGCAGTTTCTGAAATACTCAGACCAGCCCTTCTGGCACCAACAATCATGCCACGTTCAAAGTCACTCAAATCACCTTTCTTCCCCATACTGATGCTCGGTTTGAACTGCAGGAGATTGTCTTGACCATGTCTACATGCCTAAATGCACTGAGTTGCCGCCATGTGATTGGCTGCTTAGAAATTAAGTGTTAACGAGCAGTTGGACAGGTGTACCTAATAAAGTGGCCGGTGAGTGTAGTATTGTGAAAATATGCAGCTCATACTTTTTTATTCAGAGGCCCAAACTAAGCAGAAATATGCAATGTGATGCAGTTGCTGATATTTATGGGCCAAATATAAGATCAAATTCTGATTGAAGTGTAAATCAGTGAGTTTTTTTTATAACAGTGTAGCAGACTACTTACATAAAATGCATATAATACAATACAATAATATCAGTTGTCTCTATATCTACCAATAATAGGTCTTAGTAAGATGTTAAATGCTTAGTTTTATGATAAAAGCTCTTTAGTTTTTATTGCGGGGGACAAAACATATAATGCAAATGCAATACAATGATGATTGAGAGATAAAGGTTCCTCAAAAGCTAGATGTATCATATTTGATACTCACGTTTTATGTATGGATAATCAAGTAAACTTAAGTTGCTTGAGTTCAGTAAGTGTTTATCTTATACAAACAATATAAAAGTATATCTTATGTTTACTTTATATAAAAGTCAGTAAAGATTTCACAGCAAAAAAGATTCATGTACAAGGACCTGTATGTTTTTAGAATTAAAAGGCCTTTTACTTAGCCTGGTTAAAACCAGACCATTCTCAGTTGTAACTGAGTTATGGTCTGGCAAAGCGTCATAGACAAATCATTTCCAGAGGGTCACCAACGGACGTCGCGGATAGACCTAAACCAATCAGAGCGATGAAGGAGATGACGTATGCAAAGCGGCGGAGAAACATCTCCGTGTGTTGTTCTTTGCTCGGTTTTTAACAAAAAGAAAATGTTCAAATCGCTTAAAACAGACGCGATAGCTGATTCGAACGAGTGATGTTCGACGGCGGCATCCATCTTTGTAATGTAGGCTACAAAATCTGCTTCAAAATCCCAGCGCTGTCGTCATCGTGTAAAGCCCGCCCCAACGTTTCTGATTGGTGCCTCGATTTCGACGGATTGGAAATGGGCTTGAATGAGCTCTTTGCCAGACTAACTTTCAGAGCAAATCTAAATTTGCCGGGAGTTGTCTGGGTTTTCCCAGGCTACCTTTTACTTGCTAAAAATGATGAACTATCAATCAGACGACAGAAGGCATGTAGTTAATTGTGTAATACAGGGTTTTTTTTAGCAAAGGTTTGATCATGTTTATAATTTAGAGGCCTTAGAAGTTTGCATATTAAATATGACACAGTAGGCTTTATAGGGTAAACTGAGCTTTGTGTTTCACATGATCAAGGTCTTGTGTTGCTAGATAATGTGCTCTATGTCTGTGCAGGAATGGTCAGATGTTTGCTGTCGAGGCATCCGGAGCGCTCATGTGTACATTCTGGTTTACGACATCTGCTGTTTCGACAGCTTTGAGTATGTCAAAAGCATGCGGCAGCAGATCTTAGAGACCAGGTACGTGATGGGAATATTTGCTTAATTCTCTTTTTATTCCTTCACACATTTACATCTTTGCCCCCTTCTCTCTTCCTGTTATGCTTTATACGCGTAGACCTAAATTCTCTCTATTTTTTGTCCATTCCCATTTTTTTCTGCTCTGCTTTATCTCCCGCATGTTTCTCAACCCTTCTTTTCTTCAATGTTCTGTAATTACGCTCAAAAGGCGAGACTCTTCTGTAATCATGGGCTGCCAGCACGCCGGGTCATTTCTTCATCATTTGGATCCAAATCAACAGAAACTCTTTTCTCATCTGCTGATTGCAAAGGTCATCTTCAAAAGCCAATTCAAAAACCTCAGAGACTTTTTGCTTCGTACCCTCAGGTTTGATGATGAGGCCTAATTGTGGCTGTTTTTGGCTGCATACTATATCTCTTTGATATCATTCACTATTTGACTTGATATCCATATGTTAAAACGTTTGGCAAGGTGCTGCTTGAATTCATTATCATGTTATTGTGTGAACGAATACCTTTTTTTTTTTAGCTCTGATGAAATAACTTAGTGTTTTATAGTCAATATGCTACAATCTCTGTGGATATCTTGCACTTTTTGTGCAAATGAAATGTTGTGACATGTGAGACCAATTTGTCACACAGTGTCTTAAACCGTCCAAGACCAAATAGTGTATTTATAGGAGTAAAATGAACTAATAAATTAGTTAAAAGCAAGAAACCATTTTCATAATCAGCATTTTTATTCAGTAAAAATATCACAAAACATAATTAAAACAAGAAAAAATGATTTGTATAAAAATTCTATTTTTATATTGCACTGTAACTCCGAATAAGGTGGCAAAAATAAAGAAAATGATGTAATCAGTTACATAAAAAAAAATTTAAGATATGAAATTCAAAGCAGAACTGGCATATTTTTATTTTGTACTCATACATTTTAATTGCTATTATGGTAACTAATTCATACATTTAACTTAAAATTATTTTGTGATCTCAACTTGGCTAGCTTTAACTTGATAATTCAGTAAATGCTAAATGGTAACACAAATGTTAAAAAAAAACAAAAAAACACAATGTTTTGATAGCATAAGCATAGGATAGCATTTGCTGAAGGAGTATGGCAATATAGCACATTTAACATCTGTTCTCAAAACCAAGCTCATGCTCCACTCATCACCCCACAAACCACATTGAATGCATTACACATATGGATATCAGAAACTCTTCTAAATAATCATAGGAAAACATTAAACACTAGGCTACAAAATCTCCCACTTAACATTAATCTTGCTCAAAACATTATATAACACTCAATTTTAGCATTTACTCTCCCTTCCAAGTGTCATGGCAAAGCATACTGGGAAATAGAAATCCCAGACCAGCTTCAGTTAAATTTAAGTTTGTCTAAATTAAAAGAAACAAGTTAAAAAAACTCAAAACAATGAAACAATCTAGATTACTTAAAATGTGTCAATTTTGTGAACTCAAAAGAAAAATTAAGTTCTAAATACTCATAAAAGTTCATTTGATTTAACTAATTTGTTTAACTCAAACCAATTAATTATTGTGAGCATTAGGGTTTACAGTGTTGCAAAATGTCAACTTACATTGTCTTAAAATGTAAAAACTGTATTATTACACAGCTCTATTTACAGTACACTCATGTAAGGCAATATATACCATATAGCAAATTTCAATTAACTGATCTTGATCACAAAATGTAACTATATTATCATCCAGCTCTTTAAATAAATTTGTAAGATATTATAGACATTAATATCATGATTTTCTGTAAAGCTGCTTTAAAACAATGTGAATTGTGAAAAGCGCTATATAAATAAATTTGACTTTATATTATATTATATTATATAGGCCTATGTATTGACGTGCTTTCAGAGAATATATCTTTAATACATTTATTTTTCTTACGCAATAGGATTTAAAATGCCCTGTGTATCAAAGTAATACACACAGTAACAGTGATGCTCCATCATTATTTAAATTCAGCTCAGTCACCGATTGGCTTAAACGGTCAGTGAGGGCGTCAGCGCTGAGCCTGTCACTCACAGGCAGATTTAGTGTAATCAATGGCGTCAGCTGTCATGCTTCGCTTGCGTCAAGGCCTGAGCATTGAGACAGGCAGTTCCGGTGACAAACATTCATGTTTTATTGATCCAGGCAGAACATAATTAAGTCACCTTGGCCCGACACTGCCTCACAGCCTCGACCACACAATAAGAGGAGGATGAGCCAGTTCGATTCACTGATCTGATCTGCTTATAACCAACAGAAGTGAGAGCGCTCGCTGTCAATCGTTTTTGTAATAAGACAGAGCCTGTTAGAGTGACGAATTACAAGAGAGACAGTAAATTAATCTTTGGTAAAACAATAGCCACCTGTCCTGATCTCAGATGAAGTTTGTATGGAGATCTGTTAACATTATTAATAGTGTCCATTTACAGTAGCTGTCCAAAACATTCAGTACATCGACAGCATTTTGAACCCTTAAAGGGATAATTCACCCAAAAATGAAAATTAGCCCATGATTTACCCTCACCCTGAAGCCATCCTAGGTGGTGTATATGACATTCTTATTTCAGACGAATACAATCAGAGTTATATAAAAAAATGTCCTGGCTCTTCAAAGCCTTATAATTTGGCGTTGGTCGACTGCAAGAAGCTAGTTATTTTAGTCGGTAAAGTTTTAAATATGGATATTTTTCTTACACGAACGCATCGCTTCACTTCAGAAGGCCTTTATTAACCCGCCAGAGCCGTTTCGAGCACTTTTATCACGGATGGATGCGTTTTGATGGACTTACAAAAAATATACCCATTGACTCCCATTATAAGGCTTGGAAGAGCCAGGGCATTTTTTAATATAACTCCGATTGTATTCGTCTGAAAGAATAATGTCATATACACCTAGGATGGCTTCAGGGTTAGTAAATCATGGGCTAATTTTCATTTTTGGGTGAACTATCCCTTTAAATGCATAAATGTTTCGCCAATCAATACTATAATATTTAACGACTCAGATCTATATCTAACATGGATGGATCTCTACCTGCCGTAATAGCATAAAACTCTCCTGATATTTCATTAACAATTACAAATCAATAAAATAAAGTATATGTTGTTACCTTTTGGTACTTGGAAGGGTTCAATTTGAGCAAATGTTTTTTACCATCGTCACTGTCCTCGTCAAATCTCGCAAATTCGCAATTCGTACTCTCAATTGTGACTTTAAATCTCGCCATTCTGATTTTGTTTCACAGAAATGTAAGGTAGAAAAAAGGCGAGAAAAAGTCAGAGCTGGGAGATGAAAAAAATCACGATTACCTTTATTTTTTATTCTGTTTTGGAAACAAGCTTCCATATGTTAGTCCCCAACGGTAGTTAATGTTATAGTCCCTGCCTTTCAGTCCGATCATGTTCGAGATTGAAGCACAACTCATGTCGGATTTAGCACAGCAATCCAGACTGACAGTCAAAACTCGTAAATATTAATGACTAAATGAATGAATCAAAGAATAGATCGAGTTAGTGAATGAATGATGAATGAATTCTGTTTGCGGAGGGTCTCTGCTGTGTTTGCGAAAGAAATGATTGTGTCAGGGATCAGAGACCAGAGCCGTCACACACGATGACTGATGGACAATGCTGGTGGTTTCTGTCAATTCAAGACCCAGAGTTACGCGGTGACTGACAGTATTGGGTCTGAGGAGGTTTGGGGCTAATTGTGTTTACGCCACAATCTTCTTATCAGTACGCAGACACACATCAGACATGGGATCAGCTCTGAATGATTAAGTTTTGAAATGACTCCACATCAGAACTGTATCTGTCCATTCGCAGTATTTTCCACAGCAGAAGTCTATTTTTGGCTTTCCTTCCCAGTACAGTCCGGTGTGCAGCGCTGTGGAAAGCCTCTGTGAGGTGAAACAATTGGAAATCTATTTGTCTTTTTTCAGAGCTGTCAGAGGCACAGGTCATCTCGAACACAGATAAGTGTGGAGACATAAGCTGCTCTCCGGGATGTGTGCTCTCTGTTGGAGACCGGACGAGAGGTGGATAGAACAGCCCGACTCTTGACAGCCTGTCACTTCGGAGCTGCACTGAAGCCGTTTGCACACGCAACACATACGAGAGGCTGCTAGACACCAACAGGCGAAAACCCTCTCTCTGACTAATAGACCTTAGTCAGGGTAGCGCCATTTTATTTTTATTTGACAGGAAGGAAAACAACAAGCATGTGAGGGATAGAACACGTATAGTAGTGCGTTCAATGGATTGTACTGTTGTTTTGCTAGTTGTTTTTTCCTACTTAAAGGGTTTGTTCACCCAAAAATGAAAATTCCGTCAGCAATTACTCTCCCTCATGTTGTTCCAACCCTGTAAGACTTTCGTTCATCTTCAGAACACAAATTGAGATATTTTTGATGAAATCTGAGAGCGGTCTCACTCCTTCATAGGCTTCTATGTTAATGAAACTTGCCGGCCCAGAAAAGTTAGTAAAAACATCGTTAAAATAGTCCGAGTGACTACAGTGGCTCAATATTAAGTTTATCAAGCGACGAGAATACTTTCTGTGCGCAAAACAAAACAAAAATAACGACTTTATTCAACTAATCATTTCCTTCTCTGTGGGCCTCGAGTGAGATCACGTAGTGTAACGGCGCAGAGCTTCTGTGTTGTACGTCACACGCATGCAAAATTAAAATAAAATAAAAAGTATTCTCGTCGCTTGATAAACTTAAGGTTGAGCCACAATCATTCACATCTTTCAAAGCCCATTAAAGATGTTTAACATTTCAGTGTTGTGATGTGAGATCATTATCTGCATCTATGAAGTGACCACTTCCATTTGCCTAATTTCTCTCCAAACAAGCAATACGTGATATAAAAAAAACAATCACAGAATACCAATAGATACTATATTTTGGAAGAAAGAATGAGGAAAAAATGACATGCCAGTTTTGGCATATTAATAATCTTTTCAACGTCTATCCTGCAGAAGAAGACGTGTGATAAACGAGCTTAATGTTTAGTTTCATCTTCAAGGTAACAACAATACAATTTTATTTGAAAATTACTTTCAGTTTGATAAAGGTACTAAGACATTTTTCTACAAAGATGGAAAAAGGGCGTTCATCTACACACGAATGCCGCTGTTTACGATGTTGTCATGGATTTACACTAATATGTATGTTGATGCATGAAATGCCACTTTGGCTGTTTACACCTGGTATTAAGATGCATTTCAGTCGATCGGATCCCAAGTGGACGACACTAAATACAGGCGTAAACGAGGTCTGAAACTTTTTGAGCTTGTCTACTTTTGACCACTTTCAGAAGTAGTCGAAAACGTATTAGACCGGATTGCTTTCGTAGTGTAAACGCTCATGTGGTCGAATGTGTTCAAACAGCCACAAAAGACCGTCTACTCTCCACCTACTGACCTAATGTGTAAAGATTATGGGAAGCGCACTAGCCAGACTTTAAACTTTGTCAGCTGGAGACCCGAGTTTGGGTTGAAGATGAAAAACGTACCAAGCACAATGTTCTCTCAACATTCCTGATTTCTAACACACACTCACAGCATTCGGCGTTATCTTGTGGCTGTCAGAGCAGAAACTAAAGCTGATGCTCTCTGTATGCTTTTCCGTCGTCTCCGGTCGCGTCCATTAGATCCAAATATCTGAAAAAGCCAAGGCCATACATTTATCTATCAGCCCATAGACCCTCCCCTCGAAGAAATCAGGACAGAAGTGGTTAAAAGTGGACAAAATAGATGGATTAAAACACCAGGTGTAAACGGGAATGTGTCTCCCTCATCTACTTGCGATCCGATCGAATAAAACACATCTTAATACCAGGTGTAAACAGGGCCTTTATCGTGGAAGCATCTAGAATAGATGGATGCGAGGAGAGCTTCAGACAACACCAAACCTTTCAGAAAGATCATTTGTAGAGATTCAAACGGTTGCATCAGTCTGGTGAAATTGCAGCCCAAATTGATCCTCTCGAAGAAGACATTCCACTTCATCAAATGCTTTATTGTATTGACATACAATCACAGCAGGGTGGTTCTGTTCATTATATGCTACGTTAAATACGTATGTTTTCCACTGCGTGTCTTTAGTAAACCTTGACTGTAGTTTTTAAACGCCAGGAGTGTTTGCGCTGGTGTAATCTGTTGGTAATTCTGGCTCAAGTGTTTTTATGAGGCACCATGTTTGATTTAGTAGTTCCCATATATGCAAGGTTTATCGTGGGTGTAGTATTATGTTCCAAAAGAATTCAGATAACGCTTCAATTCAAAGAAGCGTGTCTCAATAGAAATGGAATAATAAAAACTACACTAAAACCATTTTAAATGCTACAAGTAAATTTAAGCATTTTAACATTAGAATGTACAGTGTGAAAAATTAATATTGATTTTGGTGTTTGCTCAAAATTAATAAAATTAGATAATAAAATTATCACTCACCGGCCAATTTGGCTACTAAATTTTTAAGTTCAGAACTTCTGCTACATTTTTTTATTTTATCCAAAATCATCCAAATACCAAAAAAAAAAAAACACTAATATCAACAGATAATCAAAATAGTACTGTTATGTTGTGCATCCCTAGTTCAAAACTCCTTAATAAATTCCACTAGAAAAAAAAGGTATCAGGATATCTCCCAACGTCATCACAAGTAAACAGTCGACTGACTGTTATAAGACAATTTTCAGTCAATCAACCGCAATTGCAGGAATAAATAAGGATGACCTGACATACAAATGTTTCATTCACTTTTCAAGGCATTGTTCACAGAAATTCTGCCATCATTTCATTCCAAACCTGTGTTACTTTCTTTCTACTGTGAAACATAAAAGAAGATATTTTGCTAAATGTTTTTGTCCAAAAAAAGGAAATCGGTGGTAACCAAACCTGTTTGGAATGACTAACCTTGTAGTATAAACTTTGTATACACTATATGCACTGCACTAATATGTATGCACTATAGTATACACTCTTAGAAGAAAAGGTTCTATATAGAACTTACACTTCATTTATAGAACCTTTTAGGGTTTATTTTATGGATTTATGAATCAAACAGCTCGTAAACATACTTTATCACAAACATACTTTATCACTAGATATTATCACAAAAAATTTGAATAACTCATTAAACATGAAAGTATTATGTAGTCATTTAAGACATTTCTCCTTATATAGAACCTTTTTGGCATAACGTCAAGAATCCAAGGGTTATATATCGAACCCCATTAAACCTTTCATAAATAACCTCCATACACCATTACCTTGAACAAAATATTCTTTGTTGTGGAAAATGTTCTTCACACATTTTACTGAAAGTTATTTTTGGGGAACCAAAAAAGGTTCTTCTATGGTGTCTGTGGAATATAATAAGAATTTACCCATCTTTTTTGTGTAGAATTGTTTTTGCATTCTGTATTCACAGTGGTTGTGTCTGTGTGTCTTTCCACAGAGTCATGGGCTCTGGAGAGACGCCCATTCTAATAGTGGGCAACAAGCGTGATCTGCAGCGAGGTCGCGTCATCCCCCGACACAGCGTATCTGACTTAGTCCGAAAGAGCTGGAAGTGTGGATACGTGGAGTGCTCTGCCAAGTTCAACTGGCACGTTTTACTGTTGTTCGGAGAGGCTCTCCGCAGCATGGGTTGCGCCCGCTGCAAACACGTCCATGCCACCATCCGTTTCCAGCGGGCGCTCAGGAGAGAGCGATGCGTCCTAATGTGAGGACTTCTGAAATGGCCATTGTGAAGCGATTTATGGGATCTGTCAGGCGATGGAAGCTCGGTTATTGCTTGGGCAGCTGGAAGAGCTGTGATAACCCTCTTGCCAAGGAACTTAACATTTGGTTTTAACTATGGACGGACAGATGTGTAAAACGGGAAGTCCATGTTGCTTCATTACCTAAGCCTTCAAATTGATGTCTCTCCTTTTGGACTGAGAGAACACAACCAACATCTCTGCCTTTTATCTTAGAAATCCAAACTGCCAAAAAGCTGGTGGAAGGTGGCAAAAATCAGCTTTAATGTTACATTAGTACACTTTCTGTCATTGCTTATGTTCCGGCCAGGACAGAACATGGGACGCTCCTCTATGTTTATGAGTAGGGTTAGGTATTGTTTGAATTTTAGCGATTTCAGTTCTGATTCTGCTTATCGATTCCGGTTCTTATCAAACATTTAGATATCAAACATATTTATTCTGTGTTTTTTTGCAAAACATTCAGCTTAATAACATAAACAAAAATCATCAGCCTAAAGAGCAACTAACTAATATACATTTCTAAAAATATTAACGATAAGTAAGTATACAGTCAGTAATACAATTATAATAAATTAGCAATAGCTCAAATAAATACACAGCATAGTTTTATTTTTTATAAATAAAATATAGATTAATCCTTAGTAAAGTTACTCAGTCAAAATCAGTGAGTGATTTTCTTTTTCTTTTGTTATAGATTAACATTTATGACAGACTCCAGCAGGTTTATTAGGCTGCTGTCACTTTAAGAGCTGCACGAATCCAATATACTGTTTCACACGCCTTTTCTTTCTGAACTGTTTACGTTTACCTAAGACATAACCGACTGTGTTTTACGAGAATATTTTGACAATTTTGTTTGTATTTGTCCGTTCAAGCGCAAGAAAATGCAAAAGAGAACTATATTCGTGCACTACCTGAGAGGCGGCTTTATGTGTGCGATCTGGATGTGCGCTTCAAAGAAAACAGCGCACAAGTGCTGAATTGAGTTTTCTTTCGCATCTTCTTGAATGATTTAAAACCACGTTCAAATGTGCACACAGGAATCGATAAGCGGAATCAAAATTTAAATTTTTAGCAAGAATCTGATTCTTGACCTTAAATATCCGATTCCAGAATTGGGATTGATTTTCGATTCGATTCCCAACCCCTACTAAGCTTAAAGGAATAGTTCACTTTGAAATTAATTTTTGGTATGTTTTAGCTTACCTCAAGGGCATCCAAGATGTAGGTGTCTTTGTTTCCGCAGTAGTTTCAATTTTGATATTTTTAGGTCAAACCGTTCTTGTCTGTCAGTCATATAATGCAGGTCTATGGTCACCACCTCAAAGAGCGTGCACAGAGAAGTCCAAATTAAACATGATTTAATGACTCGTAAATGTAAGTACACATTGATGGCCTAAGACACGAAACGAGCGGTTTGTGTGAGAAAACGAACAGTATTTATATCGTTTTTACCTCTTGTAACCACAGCCATTGTTGTCCAAGTGATCTGAGGGCGCGGGCGCTTCGGTCTGCGCAAGCGCCGGAAAGCACCGGAAGTGATCTCTCGCGCGGTTGCGAAAAAATTCAACGTCTGTTGATATAACGAAATCGTCTTCCATTGCGATTTCCTGTATATCTAAATATGTTTAGATCTTCACAGTGAAAGGTAACACTTCCGAAATCTCTGTGTAAACAATGAGTGACATACACGCGTGAGAGATCACTTCCGGCGATTGCCGGCGCTTGCCGGAAAAGACCGAAGCGCCCGCGCCCTCAGATCACTTGGACGTGGCTGTGGTTACAAGAGGTAAAAACGATATAAATACTATTCGTTTTCTCACACAAACCGCTCGTTTCGTGTCTTAGGCCATCAATGTGTACTTACATTTACGAGTCATTAAATCATGTTTAATTTGGACTTCTCTGTGCACGCTCTTTGAGGTGGTGACCATAGACCTGCATTATATGACTGACAGACAAGAACGGTTTGACCTAAAAATATCAAAATTGAAACTACTGCGGAAACAAAGACACCTACATCTTGGATGCCCTTGAGGTAAGCTAAAACATACCAAAAATTAATTTCAAAGTGAACTATCCCTTTAAGGATCATCCAGTACCTGGAAGCAGAAGTGTTTCCCAGCTCAGGTGCCGTACGCTGGCACTTATAATATTCCACACAACACAAATTATACAAAAGTCTTTGTTCTTTGGACACTTTCGTGTATTTAAAGGGATAGTTCACCCAAAAATAGCATAATTTACTCACCTCTGTGTTGTGCCAAACCTGACTGTCTTTCATATGTGGAGAATACAAGAGAAATTTTAATAATGTGGTGGTCGCTCTTTTCCATGCAGTTATATTGAATGGTTACTGAAGCTTTCAAGCTCCAAAAGTATTATAAAATGATCCATATGGTTCTGAAACGTTATTTTTCTTTTTAGTTAATAACAGAATATGTTACAGCATGATGCATGAAATCTTTAGAATCCATTCATTGTAATTGCATGAAAAAGAGTGACTAGTAAATTATTAAAAGTTCTTCTTTTGAAAGCCATGAGGATGAGTAAATAATGATAGATCTTGAACTATCCCTTTAAGGTATGTCTTGATACTGTGTCTTATCTAAAAAATGTCATTTATGCCGAGGTATGAGAATTTTTCCCACTTTGAAATGCCGTAGACACATTAAATCAAGTCACAAGGGCAAGAGGGAAATATAATTTAAATGTAAATGTGTCATAAATGTATGATCTTACACTGTGGAACCCACTTTGTCATACATATGCATGGATGATGTTTATGTGAGGCAAGTAAAAGACTAAAAATAATCCCTTCTTTAATAATTTAACCAACCACATCTCTGGCATATATACAGACCAGCTTCTTCTACACATTCCAGTCTGATCAAAAACATGTTAAATACAAATGTCTATGTGTAAAGAGCACATTTAATAAATGGACACTGGAGACAGAAAATGTGTGATGACATTCTCTTCTGTGTGATGTACGAGTACAAAAATCAATACTTACATCAGTATCTGTTCTTCAGAAGTGTATCTGCTCTACTGTTCATACAATGCACTATACGCACTCAGTAATAAGGTGTGATAAGTAGCATGTACTATAGAAATCAGTGAGGCATTGCTTGATGTTGTGGCTCACCGATGAACGACTGTGCTTACTAATGTTCATTAATCCTTAAACAATCAAAGAATAATTTCAGGTAACGTGACAAATGGAAGCACGTCATTCTCAATAATTGGATGAGATTCAGTGTAATTCGAAAAAGCTGAAATTAATCTTTTTATCACAAGTCCCCAGAATTGAGGTGCTCACAGTATCATGCTCTCACAGTTCTCAGAGGACATCTTCAAAGCGTTCCTCTCCACTGACAAGAGTCTGGGGATGAAAGGGGACTGGGGTTTGGAGGGAGGGAACAAGGAGAAGAAAGTTGCAAGGGAGCACAGCTGCTGTAGTGTGACAGGCTGCAGTTCTGACGGAGCTATTATTAGCTCCAGACTTATGCCAAGAGTTATTTATAAAACCTGCAGCCAAAAACATTGAAGCACAAGGTGACTTGGAAATGGCAGGGAAGAAATGGTAGCGGAATGCTTGGAGGAGCTGAAATGAATAAACAGTGAACAGGGACAAATTCTTGTACAGTCATGACATATTTACAGCATGTTACAAAATGTAAAAATATACAAATTCGTATCTGTACATTCATGATGTGACAAACATTCACATGGCTCAGATGTCAGTGTATCAGTTTTTATTAAATGTGGAAAGTTTCATCACTTGAACACCTGATTGTATGGAAGAATAACATCTGATCCGTCATGTCTACAGGCCCCCCGACTGCCCGAGCGTGACATTGAGGAGAAATTGTCATTTTAAAAGGATATAAATTCAGACAATCTACGTTGAAAACCTTAATCTAAAGTCTAATAATAAGTCAAACCCAAATTATATGTTAAAGAGCTCTGAATGTAGCATAGTTTAACCAAAAATGAAACATCTGTCATCATTTACTTACCATTTTGTCACTCCAAACCTGTATGACATTCTTTCCTCTGTGGAACACAAAAGGGAAATATTTTGGGAAAAGTCTTGGGGTTATTTTGTCTATACAATGGATTCAGTAAACTCCAGTGTTGTTTTGGACCCCATTGACTTAAACAGATTAAACATCTTATTTTGGGTTCTGCAGAAATAAGAAAGTCATACAGGTTTGGAACTACGTGAGTAAATTATAAAAGTATTTTATTTTTGGGTGAACTATCTCTTTAACTTTAGCTTGTACGTACACAGAGTGGAACTGGTAAACATCTTAGTGCATTTAGTAAACAATTACAAATTCATTAGTTAGACCCTAAAGAGTAATGCAAAATAACAAAAATCCCTTACAATATTTGACAGAACCAATGGCATTGCTATGGCATTAAAACTATAGTTTTCAATTAGTTTTTTATACAGTAAATGTATGTACTGTACATTAAAAATATGTATATGTATAAACAATCAACAAACCACCCAAGTATCTCATTAAGGTTAAGGTGACTTTAATCTCTGATGAAAGTGCTGTGCTTTTTGTAAAGGATGTTGAAGGCTTTCCGAAAAAAATGCACTTTTGAATAGCAAGTAAAATAGTTCCTGACTAACACATGGGTTGTTTTGAATTGGCAGTCAAATTCTCAGTAAACTCCAAAATTACACATTTCTGAGTCGTTGATTAAACCCAGGTTTCCAGATCTTGATCACCATGTGGTTCCTTGTTTGCTCTTTGGCACTTTGTTGCACTCGGTATTGGGACCTGGGATTTTGGTTTAGCCCAAGTGTTTCCTCGAGAGTTGTCTGTGCCGAAAGGCCCATGGGGGGAATCATTCCCTCTCTGGTTTTGAGAGTTGGCATCTTTGCAGCTTGTTCTTTTGTAAAAAACTGGTTTTGGGATCTTTGAAGGCTTTCGGTCGGACCTGTGGTCACGTCTTGGTCGCACACAGGGTTTTAGTTTCAGCTTGAAGATGGATGGCACTCTCTCTGGCTTCCTTAAGGATCTTCTTTGTTTGATTGAACAACTCCTCTGCTTTTTTACATGTTCAGTTCCTAAATTTGATACTTTGACAGGGGGAATTTTGGTCTCAACATTTGAGTTGTCAACTGGCACTTTAACAAGTTCAGCAGTCTCCTTTGAATCCATACTGGATCCCAATGAGGACCAAGAACTGGTCATACAAGGTTTAGAGACCTTAAGGTGATGTGCGGTAGTGTGGTCTTCCACCACCTTGCCTCTGAGACCCTTAGGAAGAGTGTTCATCCACTTCTCAACTGACACCTTCTCCATCTTCCTTTGGCCACTAGAGAGTTCAGCCATGACTGCATCAAAAGCCCTGTTTCCACTGTCGGGTGTTGCCCGATCAA